AGGTAAATTGAGGATAATAATAGTGCCAACTTTGGGTAGGGTCATTGTAAGACTTAAATAAAATAATATATATAGGCTGGGCTTGGTGGCTCAATCTGTAATACCAGCACTTAAAGAGGCTGAGGCAAGTGGATTGCCAGAGCCCATGGGTTCAAGACCAGCCTGGGCAACTTGGCAAGACCTCGTCTCTACAATAAAAATAAAAAGTAGCCAGGCCTGGTAGCGCACATCTGTAGTTCCGGCTACTTGGAAGGCTGAGATGGAAAGATCACCAGAGCCCAGCAGGTCAACGCTGGGGTGGCCCTGATCATGCCACTGCACTTTAGCCTGGGTGACAGAGTGAGACTCTGACTCAAAAAAATAATATATATACATATATATGTATATATATATATATAAAAATATATAAAACTTAGTATAGGGTTTAGCACATAGGTATCAGTATATTTTTAGCTATTATTAACAGTTCCTGATTTATATTTTCAGCTTCTAAACCAGATTGATTTTATATATACATAGGTATAGATACACATAACCCAAACTAAGGGTATTAAAATTATTATCCTGGCTACAATTAACATTAGGATTACGTATTACTGACAGTTTATCTCAATATAGTCACAGCAATAATGAACAAAAACTTTGTGTATACAGCCATATCCTCTTTAGCCAAGATACAACCCAAATAACACAGGCTTAGAGTGAGACTTCAACTCAAAAAAAAAAAAAAAAACCGAAATAGAAAATGTAACAGAATAGGCTGTGCTGTGATCAATATAAAGTAATATTTTACTCACAAATTCCAAATCTTGTGGAATAAGGGGAAAATCACATGAAATGCCTCACATATTTTCTCAATTCTTATAACTGATTTATTCAACAAAAAAATTATGAAATGCACACCATGTTCCAGGTTGCGTGTGTGTGTGTGTGTATCAAATGATAGATTAACAAAATTAAAATAGTTGGCAATTCTGATAACTAGTTAAATGTGCTAAATTGTAAATTGGAAATCTCAATGTAGATTAAAAAACAATTTTAGGAGTTAATCACCCTTTAAACACACACACACACACACACACACACACACGTTGTCATGTCCAAGGAAAGCTAATTCTAGTAAGAATTACAGCACAATTCATAAAAATGGCAGGAAAAGCCCCAACTTGAAACTCCATATGCTGAGAGAAAGTTAAAGACACAAAAATAAAAATAAAACGAAACAAAATCAATGAATCTCAAATTACATCCAAGTGAGGAAGCCAAGTAGAGAGTAAGTGTGGCCACTTATTCAGGGATGAAGTGCTGGCAGATAGGCTAAATAAGTTCATAGTCTTTGCAAGAAGACATCATGGAAATTCTCACTGGAACTTGACAGACTAGAGGTAGGAGATCAGATAATGATAAATAAACAGGATGGTCTAGGCCTGGCTGGCAGTGTAGACGTAGATAAGTTACAGGCACCGGGATATTCACCTGTATTCATTAAAGGAAGGGTTCAAACAAGATTGTTGTATAAAATACTTAACCTGTCCTTACCAGTTGCTGCTGAGCTGGAGGACCCCTGCCAACCTGAGCTGCCTTCCTAAAGGTATCGGATATAAGGTTAGCATGGATTTGTTAAATCTCAGCACACCAGAAGCTGCAGAGGGCATGCCTTGACGTTTAAACAGAATAAAGTAAGAACAAATAGCCACACACACAAAAAATATCTTTAACAGTAGTTAGCAAACTTAAGGAATTCATTACTCTCAAAGATGTGGGCAAAAAATATAAATAGATTCTGCAAAAGTTTAGATCAATTCAGCCATTTGGGAGCTGAGTTTTTGAGGGCAATGACTTGGGGCCCTAGGGTTAGCATTTCTGAGAGTGACATTGGTGGGAGGAGAAAGAAATGTTCCCCCATATTTCTTGGTACCTCCAGGCTGGGCATCTTTTGTAATTCTTATATATGCCAGTAATCCCTCTCTCTTTTGTTTTCAGTCTGGCTTTCAGTATTGGTTTTTGGTCCCATGCATAACAAAACGTCTGGTGGATCATCACTGTGCTTCTACCTGTAATATATCATCACTGTTACAGTCTTGTTTCTCTTTCTTCTTCTTTGCAGAACCAAGAAACAGACACTACCTGCCTAGGGCAAGGAAGAGGGTGAGCTCACATTTTATATTTGACTTCCAGAAATGATAAGTGTTCCCAAAAGATCTAGTGTTGCCAAAACCTCATCCTTTCTCCCGCCATCCTAATAGGCCTGTCTGTCCCCATGGAAAATACTGATACCATACTATAGGTTATGGAGGTCATTGGGGAAGGAAGCAATTTCCATAAACAATAATCCATTTATAGATTTCCTTCTCCACTTGCCCCTCCTCCAACAAAAGGGAGAGCTTTGTGATCCCAAGAATGAAAGATATAAAACATGCCAAAAACAGCATCATCATAGTATTCACTACAGCCTAAAAGAAACAAGGATCTGGGATTTGGAGGTAAGTACACATATAAGACAAAATAGAATAGGGAGCATATGAATAAAGCTGTCTCTATTTTTAATGAAAGAAAAACATGAAGGGAAGCCTTGCTGTTTCCAGGTCATGCACCTTAGTGAATTCCAACACAAAGACTACCTCAATGTCAAAAGGTCATATTCAGAGAGCTACTTCCAAACGGGGAAGTTGGCCCTGCACAGAAATAATGCAGTAACATAACCCCAGGAAAAAAACATGTTTTCAGTTACACTAGGGCCCGGCCCAGCCTTTCCCACAGGCTCTTCTTAAACAGAAACTTGGCAATGGGATTAGCTGAGCTGGAGGTGACATCCTTGGCTCTAGAGGTGAGGCCCATCAGAGTCCTCAGGAAAGTTGGGCAGAAGTTCTCCCTGCTGGTAACAACACTGAAGAATCAGTATCACTTCCATTTTATTAATTTTCCTGACAGACAGCTCTAGTTACCATACAGGCACCACAAAACCAAAACATACGCGTGTCAAGTGGCCCCATCTGTGGTAGGGCCCTGCCAAGGCTCATGTCACATCAACACAAGGAAGCAGAACCCAGCTCCTCAGACCACGTGCTAGGTCCTGTGAGCCATTCCCTGCTGGAAGAAAACCACCAGAGCTTGGTTGAAAGAACTAGAGGAGTCTCTTGGTGACAGTCCTTTATCCTGGGTCTGGGCTTCTTGTGTTGAATATAAGAGCCCTGAGAGTCACACAGCTACATCTGGTTTGGGGGACTTGTCTCTAAGCACAGTTATACAGACCTCTCTGCCTTTATTCATTTCCATCCACACAGGACAAGAGCAGCCTGAATTAAAGAAGACACTTAAAGGAATGCAACGTCCTGATTTGTAAGCTAGGCCTGAGCGCAGAGTTCCACTGCGTTGGTGCCTTTGGGCACAAATGGATACAGGAAAAGAATGTTTTAAATCAAGGCATCAATTGCTATAAGTATTGCTAGAGTGATGGAAGGAGCTCCAAAACAAGGTAAAACAATTTGTTCTTTTGCTTTTTTAGATAGACCAATGTTAAATATCAACTGGCTAAATAGTGCCAGTTGGGTAAGTACAAAGAGTAAGGATCTAAAAAAACTCCTCAGCCAGGCTCGGTGGCTCAGCCTGCAATCCCGCACCTTTGGGAGGCTGAGGTGAGTGGATTGCCTGAGCCCACGGGTTCAAGACCCGCCTGGGCAGGCAAGACCTCATCTCTACAATAAATCAAAAAAATCAGCCAGGCATGGTAGTGTGTGCCTGTAATTCTGGCTACTCGGAAGGCTGAGGCGGAAGGATCGCCAGAGCCCAGCAGGTCGAGGTTGCGGTGGCCAGGAGCGGCCACTGCACTCCAGTCTGGGTGACAGAGTGAGACTCCAACTCAAAAAAAAAAAAAAATAAACAAATAAATAAATAAACAAACTCCTTCTCTAAGTAACACAAATTCATAAACACCCCTGAGGTGAGCACTGACACGCCTGCATCCTCACACTTCCCACCCTCCTGCCACCAGGGCCATTTCCTCAACTCCATCAAGGAACTTGTTGGCAGTGGATATAGTAGCCACAGCAGCAAAAGGCAGGAGGTCTCACATCTTTGATCCCAGAGCTTCTGGTCCCCTTTGCAGGACCTTGTGGTGACTCATTCATTTCTTACCTCAACCACTATCATTTCTGCTCACATATAACAGGAAGGAGGATGTTTGCCCAGATCCGCAGCTAACGTCCAAATCAAAATGGCCCAGACTAGACCCGTTTTCTGCAGTGGTTTGCCATCTTGACACCTAGACTGCCTCATCCAAAGACGAGGACTAGAGTGATTGTTATCACATGCTCCAGAAGCCCTCTGGTGGGGGTTGGAAGCTCAATGCAAGACCCCAGAAACACAATTCGGACCTGGCCCAACCTGGGTTGGTCTGGTAGGAAGTGGCCTCTTTGGGAACTCTGGAGTGGCTGTCCAGCCAGCTCTGATAAGTCAGCACTGCTGCCGAGGACTCGGTTCATTGTTTCACTCTCCATTCAAATAACCACTGCATGTCAGCTCTGCTGGCCTCCTTGATTGTGCAGAAATAAATAAATGAATTATGTTGTTGGGATTTGGACTTCAGCACAAACACATGGTCTGCATTTATCCACACAGTGAGAGGTCCATCAGCCACTTGATATAAAAGAGCAAAATGATAATTCTTTTCTTTAGGCACTCTGGTGCCATATGGAATGTATATAAATCATATTTTTGTTTTAACAGCGGAGGCTTTGTTGATAGATAAACATGTGGTTTATCTAAAAAAAGAGAGGATTGTGCTTTGAACAATCATTTAATGGCCGTGGATGTGCCAAATAAAAATAAAAACATAATTTTGAAAGAAGTTGGCCTTGTGCCCAAATCCGTAACAAGGAATTTCTCCTTAACCAAAGTGGTTAAAGCCTGTCGATCTGTTTTGAGTTTAAGCTGTGCTCTCTACTCAACCCCACGACAAATGGAATCCTGGGCTAATGTGCTCTAATAAGACAAGACGTTACCTTTATGAATGACCTCATGGAGAAGAGGTTGGCAAGCATGGTGGAGAGGCCTTGAGCCAGGCAGCTCTGGGCTATGAAGCCCAATTTCAGCTCTGCGAGGCAGATTGCATCATCACCCTCTTTCCAATTCCAGCTTGGGATGTTGAGCAGATGGGCCTGTGGAAACAAAAACAGGTATGAGACCTTGCTTTGTTAAATGTTCAATTGTTTAAAATTTCTTCTGGGAAATGCAACATGGACCAACCACTCGGGGTCATCTAGACTTGTCCTTTCTTTCCCTTGCTTGGGTCTAACGTTTGGTGTTTTATTCAACTCTTCTGTTCATCGGACTTCAGACTCTCTGGAATGTTGCCTCTGCACATACCAAGACCAAGTCCTCCTTTTGGGTTTGTCATTTAGAAAAATAGAGCCCAGAGGGAATTTCCTCTTGTGACAGGGATATTAGGCCATGTTACTAGGATGCCTGGCAAGGTTGTTCATAAACTGGCTCCTCAGACAGCCTGAGACTGCGAGATGCCTGTATATTTTGGATTTCTTTTTTACCTGCCTTCTCAGTTCTCCAGATCAGTGACTCCCAAACTTGAGCAGGCATCAGAATCACCTGTAGCGTTTGTAGAAACTCAGATTGCTGCACTCATTCCCCCAAGTTTCTGACTTAGTACGTCTAGGGTGAGGCTGGAGAATTTGCATTTCTAACCTGTTGGAGGTGATGCTGTTGCTGCTGATTGGGGGGGGGGGCACACTTTGAGAACAGTTACCCTAAATTATCAGGTAAAATCAGTGTGGACATTTTCAATTTCTTGCAGTGGACTGGTCCTATTCAATAATTAGATCAGGCCCTGAGACAAGGACCCAGAGACATGTTCATCCAACTATTTTTAAGTGGCATAAAGCAGAGAGTCATAGATAATACATTGAATGAAAGAATCAAAATTTTAAAAGTTCTCCAGAGTTGGAAAAATCTGCAAAGATCAAACTGAAAGATTTACAGAACTTAATGTCAGTACAATATTTAGATTCAAAATAAAATCAACTATATAAATTCAAAATAAGACCTAATTTGACAGCAGATAGGAGAAACACACACACACACACACACACACACACACACACACAGAGCAACATTTAAGTGTGTGGGTAACCAAAATTTCAGGCCAACCATGTGACACATGACAGAGAAAACCAATGCTAGATTGTTAGAAATGGTCTTTAGATCAAGGAAAATGAACACATCACTCTGTTATGAACTGGTCAGTTAGTTTCAGAGTTCTTGATCCAGCTTTAAGTCACATTTAAAGAAGAAAAAGGATCAATTAAATAACTTTCAGAAAAAAGTGACAAAAACAAGAAGAGGTAAGTGTCTGGAAAATATCTCTTGAGGAACAGTTAAGAAAGCCAGCAACGTTTGGCCTGAAGAAGGGTCATGTCTTCATGGAACATGATGGTTACATCTGAATACCTCAGATGTTGCGGCATCCAAGATTAGGTTTGTCCTGCTGTGTTCCAGGAGCCAAAGTTAGGACTGACTAGCGTGTTTTATAAGAAAGCAGTTTTTTGTCTTGCTTTATAGAGAAACTTTCTAAAGATGTAATTTGTGTACTAAATGGAGAAAATTACCTCGAAAAATACCTCGAAAAATTCCCTAAGACTCATCAAGTTTATCTCCAAGTTGCTGCAGAAAGAACTCTTCCTCTGCATAGAAGATTGACTTGAGAACCCCTCTATGTTCCTGGTAATTTCAATTATAGCCCCAAACCGGGCTTGGTGGCTCAGCCTGTAATCCCACGCCTTTGGGAGGCTGAGGTGAGTGGATTGCCTGAACCCACGGGTTCGAGACTGCCTGGGCAACTTGGCGAGACCTCATCTCTACAATAAATCAAAAATCAGCCTGGCGTGGTAGCACGTGCCTGTAATTCCGGCTACTCAGAAGGCTGAGGCGGAAGGATCGCCAGAGCCCAGCAGGTCGAGGCTGCGGTGGCCAGGAGTGGCCACTGCACTCCAGTCTGGGCGACAGAGTGAGACTCCAACTCAAAAAAATAAATTATAGCCTTGACATGATTATTTTTATGCATGTATCAGCAAATACAAGGGGCACCAAACAAGCTTTCTCTTCACTTTACAAATAATATATAATAGTTGAACTAGAAGGATGGAAGAATTCACTGAGGAAACAAAGAGCCAGTCCAAGGGTCCATGCTCTGCTTTTGGAAATACCACTCTTATGAAATTCCTTCTTGCCAAATCCACTTCTGTGACAATCGTGTGTGTCCCAAGTCAGCAGGGGTTATTCCTGGGAGAGATGACTTTATCCTCTGATGATAGTATCGTTAAAATACTCCTGTGAAGGAGCCATAGCAGGTGGTAATTTCTGCCAAGTCGGTATCAGAGACCTTCCCCACATTGTATACTCAATACCAACAATCAGGCCTACCCTTTATCTCATTTCTCTTCCTACTCTTCACTGGCTATAGAAGGCCACTTTCTATCTCATAGAGATTACATCAGTATAAGTGGAGAAACAGTATTCATTTGTAGTAACATCATCTGAGAAGTATTAGGAGAAATTAAATCCAAGTAACGAACAAGTAAAACATTGTGTGTGAATGAAGATTCATTTGGTCTAAGCCCTAGAGAGACACCTCATAACCTTCATGGCACCTTCAAACAAACAAGCGAAACCTTTCCAAGAAAGTCTCTTATATCCCCATGTGCCATCTGGGTATGAAACTCAGGCTTTTAGTCCTTGGTTCCCTATGTCCTCATCTGGTTTGAGTTCTTTAGACATATTTTACACATTATTACACAAGAAAGTCAAGTTTATTCCATGTCTCAGGCTTCCATGGTCCCCTTTTTTGGCCATGATATTTTCTCCAGTCACACGGCAGTGGAGTGAGGGTGACATGCTGAAAGCAGGGGGATAAATTTGCATGCATGAAACAAAGAGAGAAGATTGACCTGGGAACTCAAATTCTTTATTTCTGGCAACTTCTTTTCTTTTCATTTGAAGAAATTTGGATCTGATGAAAAATGCCAGCATGACTACACAGGAGTCTGAAAGCAAATCCTCTCTAATTTGCAGAATATAAATAGCAGATCTAACAGGACCAAGGTCTCTCTCTGTTTCTGCTACTGAGTCGCCCCCACCCCCATCCCATGGAAGAGAAACATGAAAATAGACTGTCCTGGGAAACCAGAAGAGATGAATTCCAGTCCCGGGTCCTTCTCTCACTACATAACCATGAGGGACAAAGAAGGCCATGTCAGGGGAAACACTTTTCCACTACTACCCAAGTGACAAGGTTTATAGTGAGAAAGCTCAAAGAACTTCCATCTGCATTGGGCCATTGTGACTTGGCTTCCAGAGACAATGGCTTCTTTCACTAGAGTCTACTGGAAAAATTAAAAAGTCTTTTAATAGGCAAATCGTTAGAAGCGACATTTTTCTAAGACATCATAAGTCATGCTTTCCTCGAAGAACTTCAAGTCATTTACACTCAGATTGAAAATGTCCTATACCATCCTTCTTCTGCATTCAGAGATGGCCAGAGTGAAACATGTATCTCCATGAATTCTAGAGATATTAAAAAGATACACTTTGGAGAGCATCAGTACTGTCATAAGGACTAATCTCAGGAACCATGGTTTGATTCAGGGGCTCCATTTAAAGAGACTCTTCTGTCTCTCTGCTCATTGGCTGCTAAGTGACCATAATTTGTGCCCAGCAGAGTTAGATCCCCTGGTCTGAGGTTACTCTGGGATGCTAAAAGGCACCCAGATGGTCCAATGAAGACTAAAAAAAGACAATGGATGTCAGAGCTCTTTTAAAACCATAAAATATGACACAAATGTCTACAATTATTATGATGACAAACCCAAGGCCAGTTTTATATGGAGAAAAAGTAGGCAAGTTTCCCTTCATCCCTCTAGGGCCTAGAACATCACTGTCTTTAGATCATAAGGGATTGAAATTCTTTACATTTCAAGCCTGGTATCCAATTACAAAATCAACTATTCCTTGAAATATGTTCATAGTGACATAACTTCACATGCACAAACCAGATACTTTCCTGAAAGCAAACTTGAAATCTGAGCATCTAGGATGGATGCAGAGAAAGTGCCAAGAGGAGAAGAAAATAATATTGAAAGAGAAGAGAAAGAAAAACAGATTGAAAGAGTAGGTCAAAGCATCTTAGGACAGAGCACAATTGTGAAGCAGAGTGAAGAATGCCCATTTGGAATTCTACCAGGAAAGACATGACAAATAATGACAAGCAAACTTGTTGTTCTTCCTCTAGAAGTCAGAAATGAAATGATAGAGGAAAAATTACCTGTTCAAAGTCACTCCATCCTGTGTCCTTACTAATTATACAGAGATCTGTGCCTAACCCTGAAACCTAGATAGACTGGACCAGTTCTAAACAAAATATGTTTTAAGCAAATAATCATGGATCAGTTGATATCTTCCTCATTGTTTCTGAATAATTACAACACAGAGGTTTGCCAAAGACATGCAAGTTGCTATGATCATTGTGTGATTATTAACCAGGGACTCTCTGGATCCTAGACCAGTCGAACTATGTTGAGTTTGACAAGAACCACATAGCTGAAATCCTCCTTAATTTCTTGAAGATGCTGTATCAGCACTCATTGGAAGGAGAAAAAAAGGAACTGACAACCCTTTCTAAACATACAGCATTAATTTTCCTATTCAATCTAAATGCAGCCAAAAAAATCTAAACATCTAAAAGCACTCCCACACTAAATGAAATTTCAGATCACAAATGAAAGAAGGAGTGCTTGTTGCCACAGGAGCTGTCACCAGTCACAGAATTGCTAATAAAAATCACCTCCACCTACGATGCTGCCATCAAAAAAACTTCAGATTGATGCCTGTGTGTTACCCATATCCTCACTTTATCTCTTCATTGTCCTTGTGCTTTCCAGAGACAAACAGGAGAATGTGACCTTGGGTACCCACCACCAAACCCACTGGCTGGAGAGCAACACGTTCTGCAATGGAGCCACCTGCCGAGGGTTGGGCAATGACTGGCGGCAGGCAGTAGTTCCGAGTGGTGGGCCATCACCGACAGCAGGCTCCACTCAGTGATGGCCTCTCATGGGCTCCCACACAGCAAAATGGGCCAATATTTGCCAGCAATTAAGAAATAATGGCACAGCGCTGGTGCATTTGGCAGAATGGGGTTTTCTCTGGGTCACCTGACTGCCTATTTCGTAGGGAATATGGCCCATAAGATGGGGCATGCTCTCACTCATAACCCAGCAGGGAGTTATTCTGTCCAGATAGGACACCTGGTTCCAGGTACTGAGCAGCCTCCAGTTTCTAAGCTTCATTAAGGAGATAACTGGTACCATATCAAACAGAGAAAGGTGCCACCTTCCCTCCCCCAAAGCTGTTTTCTTGGAAGTTTACTGACTGACCGAGGGAAGGAGCATTGCCTTTGAATGAGAGGCTGGACTCTGGTTTACTGAGAAGTGATCACAGCAAAATAACATAGGCTCCAACATTTGTTTTCTTTCCAATCAATTTCCCATTTTAGCTGTAACACTAGGAAAATTCCTTTCAGTTTAATCTCTGGATAGTCAACTATTTTCCTGAATTCAACTCTGCAAATTCTCATCCTCAATTTGAGAATGTTTTCAGTATTATGTTCCTACAGAGCATATTATTATGTTCTTTTAAGTTCAACTTGTCTCAGCTAGAGAAGTCCTACCACTTGCCTGAGGCACTCTATACCTTAACTGCTAAATCCCTGAGGGTACAAAATAGGGCTTCTCCCTCACTTGGATCCCTCCTGGGGCCAAGTGGAGTGTTAACCACCTAGTAAGTATCCATTAAATATTGACTGAATACATAAAGTACTGTAACACATAAAAATGAAAGTTGTTGGAATTTAGGTACAGACAGGATCTAAGGATTGATGGCTCTAAACCTAGGGCTTCCATAGATGCTTTCTGAATGAATGAATCAATACATGAAGGAGCTTCCTTTCAGTAACCAACTGCAAACAAGTAATTTCAAGTGGCTTAAACTAAAGAAATGTCCCATGGAGATTAAAAATCTACCATACTTCTTTACCCAGGCCTTTGAGTTTCACTGGCATGTGTGCACACGTGGGCACCTGAGTGGTGTGTGTGTGTGTGTGTGTGTGTGTGTGTGTGTGTGTGTGTGTGTGTAGGTGTGTGTGTCTGTACAGAGAGGGAGAAGCAACTGGGTCTTATGTCTTTAGGCCTGAAGCAGGCTCTCACTGTCCTACCTTGTTGTGATACTGCAGCATCTGAGTGATGATTCTTATCTTCGGATGGTAGTTCTTTATGGAGATTACTCTGAAAAAAAAGAACAAAAGTTGAGGCAGGGTCTGCTTTACCCATGGAGTCTGACAGGAAGATTAATTTGATTATCCCCTAAGGGGGTGCTCGTGGGACCAGCAGCCAGGACTGTTCTGAGGGGTTGCAGACACTGGGCCAAGTTAACTTGTGTTCCCCCTGCAATACCTCTTAGTAATGTGAAAAAGAAAGCACAAAATGGCCACAGTCTGTGTTCTGGGCATGAAAAATCTGAGGGCCCCCTGTGATGCCTTGGGGATGTGTGCATGTGTGCATGCATATACTGGGGTGTGGGGGCTCCTGAAACAGGGGTCATGGGCTTACTGCCTATATAGATACAGAAAGCAAGTTCAAATCCTGGGGTCTCCAGAAATTTGAAATCTCCCACACCCTAAGGACTAGCCTTGAAACAATCTGCTCTGAGTCCAATGCTCCAAGCTAACAACTTGAGGCAACAATGACAAATCAAACAAGCAGCATGACAAATGGTTCTAATTGTGGCACACACTTGGCAACTCTCACAAAAATGATTTCTAAGCAGGGATCTCAAGATGAGATTAAGGACTCAGCCTTCCATAGCTAATAAAGTCTAAAATATGACTTGAATGCTGATTAAAAATAAGTGCCAAGGCCTTGCGCGGGTCACAAACCAGTAGAAAATTGTCCCCCACCTGCCCTCAGTCCAAACTGTTAAGCACTGCTTGAGCCTACCTCAACCCTCACTTGTCTTCCCCATGTCAATCACTGCTAAAGGGAGGGGCAGGGAGCAGAGGAATGGAAACACCTGGGTTCTAGTCATAGCTATTGTACTAATGAACTGGGCAACCTTCAGGAAACCCCTGGCCTCTCTGTTCCTGTTTCCTCAACTGGACACTGGGGGCAACCTGTTTTATTTACTTCACAGGTTTGGTATGAGCAGCAAATGGGAGACCAGATGTGAAAATGCTTTGAAATCATTAAAAGCTCTCTCTACGTGTAAGTTATGGTTTTCATCATTACCAACTCTGTCAGAGGTGACATTATACATTTCCTTCTGTGACAAGGAAGGCTAAAGAATGGAATTCCACAGAAAGGTCAACCTCCTAAGCCTCATCAAAAATGCAAGTGCATTGATCATGACTGCCCCCACAAACCTCCCACCAAGCAGCCCTCCCCACTTTACCCCTTTTAGTGCAAAGATGGAGAGAAGGCAGCCGGGAAGCAGCTTTATCTGAAAAGCTGCAACTTGTGAATTTAGGAAATGGATCACACTAAAACCTCTCCCGGCACAAATCCACCCTGGGTTTTTGCACTTGAAGGATTTCATTTTATTTTTGAAAAAGTATTGTGTTAGCCCATGCTTATAACTCAAGGACTTTGAGCCTCTGTCAGCCCTGCCTTGCAGTTCACAGCCTCAGCCAGTTTTAGGCATTAGCTCATTTCGAATGGCTTTTTGACATTTTAATTTTAAAAGGGGCAGATTGGTCTCATTAAACTAAGGAGGAAGGAGGATTATACAAATAAGAGAAAGACAAAGTCCATTTTTTAACCCTGAACTTCCCATTTTCTTTTGCTGCCTGGGTCTCAGTTCTGGTTCTACACCATTACATTTCTGATACTACCGTGGACCAGTAATTTCTGTACATTGGCATCCTGCCAATCCCTCTGGTATCTATATGACTTCATAAACAACGTATTGCAATTAAGAGAAATGCCCATTTCAAAGCCATTATCCAGTCCCAAACTTCTATGTGGGGTCAAAACATTAAGCTTCACCTTTGTCTGGTATTCCATTTGGGATTTTTAAGATAATAGAACCTGGTTCCTTGAAGGTTACATTTTTATCACTCCAAACAACAGAAAAATGTGTCAATGAATGAAAATTTTCTTTTCTTCAAAGAAAGGAACAAGTGACACACCCTGAACTGGGGCTGGTGTCATCAATGTCCAGCTGTAACTCATTAGGGGATAGCTTCAGGTACGAAGACAGTCTCCATCCCAGCATCTCTCTGCACTCAACTTTCTTAAAACAACTGTATTGAGCATACTGCCAAAGAAAAGTGAGTAGAGAGAGAAGATGGTGCCAGATGTTACCTGCCAGATACAAGGACCAGATGCTTTGGGGAGGATTTCCTCCCCTGAAATGCATCTAAGGAATCCTCCCACTACACTGATGGGGAAAACTCATGTCACTTGGGGCCACTGATGGAAAGCAAAGACAAAGGAGATGCAAGCATTGTCAGGACACAAAGGCAACTTCCTGGAGCCTCAATCTCAGGTAAATTCCCAGGGTATAGGAAACCAAGCTACAGAGAGAGAGGAAATCTTTGGCCCAAAAGATGGCGACTCACAATTAGGCAAGAGTTACTGGGAATGCAGTGGGACTGAAATGTTTTCTCTTAGCTCATCTCCAAAAGATTCTGTTTATTACTTCCTCTTAGCTCTCTTAACCATTCTGCAATGTATGCTAAAGAAGAGACACGTTCCAAAAGGCCTGGAGCAAAATGTCTTGAATTTTTAGTCATTTCATAGTTGTGTGATGTGATTGTGGGTCTATGTGAAAAACAAAACTTGAATGATTTTTCTTCTGAAATGAGAAAAAAATAAGGTATTAGAGTTGGGGCCTAGATTAACAGTAGACAGGACTAACCAATTTGCAGAAAAGGCACTGGGCAGTGTGTTTCCCAGAGGTGTCCATCCTCCCCTAGAAGATGTTCTGTTAAAAGGGGAAGATAGTAGTCAAATAGGTTTGAGAAATGCTCTATAGTACATTATCTCAGAGATTCATATTAGTATTCAAAGCACTGAAAAGACTTTTGGTGAAGAACACTAATTTTGGAAAACTGATTCAAACAAGCTAATTGGTCAATAAACTCCTTTTTTAGGATGATACTAGTCAACGCGCTGCAGACACACTTGGAAAGTCCTAACAGGAGTTTCTCAACCTTGGCACTGTTGGCACTGTTGACACTGTGGGCTAGATAATTATCTCTTGTTGGAGGCTGTCCTGTGCACTGTAGGATGTCTAGCAGTGTTCCTGGGCTCTACCCACCAGATGTCAACAGCACTGACCCCTAGTTATAATAACTAAAACCATCTTCAGACATTGCAAAATGTCTCCTGGGGGTTAAAATCACCTTAGGTTAAGATATCTCAGGCTCACTCCCCCTTAGGGAACATGGCACCTTAATTCAGGCCTGTACCCATCTAAATCTATCCTCCCTTTCCTAGCTCTGTCTCAAGGAATCTCAAACCCAAAGCCAGTTGTGAGCCCCAGAGCAGCCATCTGCTGAGGGTGAGCTTCCTGTTGGCAGTACCTTGTATGTCACTGCCCTCCTCCCTCCCACAGTCTTAGCTCCTCAAGGCCTATATAAAAAGTTGTAGGGAGGTTTATGGGCAAAGAAGGCCTCACAGAGATAGTACTCTTTAGAAGACTCAAAAGGGTTGCGAGTGTTCACAGGGTGCCAAAGCCAGGGCCTTCCCTAGTCCCCCAGTTACCTCATGATGTTGGAGGCATCTTCAGCATCCGGGTCAGCGCAGTACTTGTTGGCAAGGATTAGGCATGCATCTGCTGACTCTATCTAAGACACCAAAAGGAAAAATCACAGAACACAAACATATAAATAGCCACGCTCGACTGCAGTCTTTCTCCGTTGACAGCTCTGGGGAAGCTGGTGCTTTGTAAGGGAAGGGAAAAAAAAAATCCTGAGAGATTATAGTTTTTGTCAAAAGTGTAGGTTGCAAGTTCTTGTTATGGTATAAACATTTCATCTTGTTGCTGTTGGAGGGTACAACATGTACCTTGGTAATTATACTTTTCATTTGGCATAGTCGCTTACTTGTAGGATTTCCAGATTTCTTTAAATAACAATTAATTAAGCCTTTCAGTCCCCTCCCCACCTCCTTTCTTAACCATCTGCTCCATCAACCTAATTCTTTCAGTAAGGAAATGGAGATAGGTGGGCTAGGCTCCTTCTCCTGGGTTAGCAAGTTAACTGAGTAGTTGAGGATACAGAAATTTAGACTCCAAAGTCCTTCATCTAACCTTTATACATCTTCAGTATCTGTGGACTAAGAAGAGATCAGAGTCCTAAATCAGATAACAGCTCCGTGTCGGTTAGCATTCACTTAATATTCAGATATTCAAAAGACAACAGATCTATGTGTATGCACTGATGTGTTACAAACGAACTCAAAATACAGTCTACTGACTTATCTAAACACAAGCCCAAAGGGGTTTATCCCTTAGAGAAAACCATGAGTTTAATGTGCTAATAATTGCTTGCATTTAAATGAGATCCATGAACAATAACTATTTTCTCTACATTCTCATAAGATTTCACATTAGCCATAACTTTGGTCATGTCTGGATAATATTAAAATTAACTGGACTATATAAGCATAAGAATTCTCATGCTGGCTCAAGTCTGCAATCTGTCCTCCCTGGTATATTGTACTTAATAGGTCATTCTTGCATTTTGGGGAAAGGCATAATATCCTCCGTGGTATGTCACAATTTGTTTCTGGATTTCTTTAATAATGCAAAGAATTCATCCAAATCCCTTCGGATGATTCATGTTAGCCAATTATATTATTTACAGAATAACGTGATGACCACAGTTAGCATTTAGACTTCAGTGGATTCACAATATTAAAGTACACCCACTGGCATGCAAATATTACACATGCTCACAAAATCTATATTAAATGAGTAAAGTAGCAGGTGCTATCTTGCTGTGTACTTGTCCCTTCTAAGCCTCAGGTGCACTTTATGAGAAGATTCTAACTTAGCAGGTTCTAGAAAAAAAGATTAGCAAGTGAAGTCAGACATATGTATGTTTAATGTTGCACCCTGAGTCTTTGGTGGGAAAAAAAGCTTTTTTTAGACTTAATCTTTCTCTCAGATGTAAATAACAGACATCAGATATACACTGAATCCAACTAAGTGTTCAAAATGGGAATTATTTGATAGCTATGTCATGTAGAGACTATTGAGTCCATACAACAAGTTGACTCTACTTCTTTTAGGAGTAACTGATATTGAGGGAACCAGTAAAATAAGTTTCATATTATGACAAGCCCAAGTGTAGGATGCTTATAGGTAGCAAGTTCCAACAGATCAAGGTTCTGGGCTCAGTGGAAGGATGCTGTCATGGTTGGTGGTATCTGACTTATCTCATTAGGGGTTTAGGAGACGACTTTTGGCCATCCTAGGTGGCACATCCCTTTACCATAGAGTCAGATCCCTGTCCCCTTGCAATATGGAGTAAAAGCAGAAGTCACCTCCTCCTCCTTACCTTGACTCTTGCAAGATCATGTGGATTGAGGACTGAACCCTGATAAAATTCCACCTGAGTAAAATGTCGTTTGAACAGAGCTTCAAGCTCCAGGTTGGGAGAAATGCTGCACAGAAAGAGAAGAAACAGTCATTAAAAGAATGGACTCAGGGATTTCAGCCTCTGTGGGCTTCCTTCTCTCTAATTTCCACAGTAAACCCTGGGGAAATGCTGTGACCTTAAAGCAGTATCTTTTTTTTTTTTTTTTTTGCCATAAATAAGATGTTCACACACAAGAGAAGTAAAACCCCAGCCTAACTGAAAACGAAACCAGTACCAAAGTCAAATAAAGAGGTTCATGGTCTTTATGAAGGCCAAGACCTGTGGGACAAAAACGTCTTTGAGTTTGCTTTGCATGGAATCCCTATTTTCTGAATAGAAAAGTTGAGCTGTGCCACTAGTGTACTTATTATTTTATGTGTCATCCTAACTGTGCTATGGAGTGCCGAAATTAAACATGAAATTCTGGGTGTGTCTGTGAGAGGGTTTTTGGATTAGTGTTTGAAACAGCAAATTCAGTAAATTGCCCTCCTTAATGGGCACAGGCATCATCCAGTCCTCTGAGGGTCTGAAAAGAGCGATAAAGCACAGGAAAGAGGAGTCTGTAATTTTTGCTTCGTCTGCCTACTTGAACTGGGACATCTCATTTCATTCTCCTACCTTTGGACTGGGATCTATTGGTTCTCAGGTCTTCGGACTCAAACTAAATTACACCACTGACTATCCTGAGTCTCCAGCTTGCAGATAGCAGACTACAGGACTTCTCAGCCTCCAAAATCAAGTAAGCCAATTCTTCATCATAAATATATGAGGGGAGGGGCCAAAAACCAGAATTTGTTTATAAAAAATTATATATTTATTCTTACATGCTTAAACTATAGTTGCCTTCAAAGTCCTCTCCATTTGATGCAATATACCTAGAAAGACACTTTTCCCACCACTCAAAACAGTTTTTGAACTCATTAACTTGATGCCTTTCGGTGCTTCTGCCGTTTTTGGTTTCACGTCTTCCACACTGGCAAAATGTTTTCCTCTGAATATTTTTTTCACCCAGGGAAACATAAAAAAGTCGCCTGGGGTGAGACTGGGTGACTAGGAAGGGTGGAGCATGAGGATCATGCCATTTGGGGTCAAAAGCTGCCGAGCACTCAGTGTAGTCTGGGCAGATGTACTCGTCAATTGCCCAACGAAATGGGCAAATGCATTGAAAGAATTGCCAAAAAAAATTCACCAAAGCCAAACGCATCCTTTCACAGCAATGCTAGCTGGTACACTGATGCTAAAGTCTGTGCTGCAAGGGGCTTGCCCTCCAAAAAATAATTTCATTTTTGGGGGTTCTCCCTCATATAGGTAGAAAAATAGAGATAGATGCATCAATATATAGATACCTGTATCTATCTATCTATATCTATATGTGATATATTGATATATAAATGACTACATCTAGATCTATCTCCCATTGATTATGTTTCATTGGAGAACCCTGAATAATATGAGGTAGAATCCAAAAAAATGGAATTATCTTTTAGAGGGTAGGCTCCCTGTAGTACATTCGGAATTTGTTCCTCTGAATCAAATAGCCGACCAAAGTTTTGATCTGGAATTTTACGAAGGTGGCATCACAATCTGCAGAAGAAATGTCCCAAGTTGTGGCAAACTGGTTCTTCCACCACGATAACACCTGCTCACACTACACTGAATGTTCAGCGATTTCTGATCAAAAAGGGCATGACCCCGTGCCCCACCCTCCCTCTTTACCCGATCTGGCCCCGAGCAACTATTTTGTTGTTGTTATTTGTCCAATGAAAAGAGTCTTCGAAGGAAAACATTTTGCCGATGTGGAAGAAGTGAAACAAAAAATGGCAAAAGCACTAAAAAACATCAAAATTGATGAGTTCAAAAACTGTTCTGAGCAGGGGAAAAAGCATCTCCATAGGTGTATTGCATCAAACAGAGAGTACTTTGAAGGTGACTGAAGTTTAAACAGGTTAATTAACCTACCATGAGTCTGATATTGACAGATGCAGGGGACACAAAGGTGAATCCTAAAAGTTTAGGCCTCAGCAGCCAGCTTGTTTATTCAAACTGAAGCAGTGAGTGAGAGAAAAGTGGCTGCTTGTGTAAATCTAACCAGTCTTTCAGATCGATTACACGTCATGTCTCTTTCAGAAACCTGCCCCAGTAGTCCCAGCAAACTGGCTCTCTCTTTTTTTTTTTTTTGAGTTGGAGTCTCACTCTGTCACCCAGACTAGAGTGCAGTGGCCGCTCGCGGCCACCACAGCCTCGACCTGCTGGGCTCCGGCGATCCTTCCGGCTCTATCTTAAAAAGAGGCCACATGGGCCAGGTGTGGTGGCTCAAGCCTGTAATCCCAGCACTTTAGGAGACAGAGGTGAGAGGATTGCCTGAGCCCAGGGGTTAGAGACCAGCCTGGGCAACTTGGTGAGACCTCGTCTCCACAATATATCAAAAAATTAGTTGGGCATGGTAGTACACACCTGTGTGTGTACCTGTAGTTCCAGCTACTTGGAAGGCTGAGGCGGAAGGATCATTGGAGCCTGGCAGGTCAAGGCTGAGGTGGCCGTGAGCATGACACTGCACTCCAGCCTGGTTGACAGAGTGAGATTCTGACTCAAAAAAAAAAAAACAACCAAAACAAACAAAAAAACCCAGAGGCCCCATGAAGCTCTGCCTCTCAATTATACTGACTTCAGTGTCTCTTAGGTAACAGAGTTAGTTGCACATGTGGCTCATTCTGAAACGCCCCATCCATGCAGAACCTACACACTCTACCTCTCGTGAACCTTCCAAAATGTTCAGCAGAGGACAGGCACCACAGCTAGTGATCAGTGGCTAAGCACTGAATTGAACTTGTAGGTACCTGCTCCTGTGCTACCATAGCCTGGTCTGTCTTTTCAGAGTTTAGAGAAGCCAGTGCCAAAAAGAGAAAAACTAGGACTCCAGTGCAGTGGCAAGTCAGAAGTCTGGCATTCTGTGAGCAAACGCCTAGAGAATGGGGAGTATGTAGGGAAGCCAGCCTCAATGATCCCTAGAGCAGGGCCAAGCCCTGAGTGGACAACACCATGTAAAGCAATGCCAATATGTAAGCTTCATCTTGGCCTTCAGCTACTTGGTCCCAAGACCAGCCCCATGATAGCCTAATCTCCATAAAAGAAGTCTACAATGGTACCACCCAGATCACCATGGAGGAGGTGCCTAACTCCATTCCTGGGGCAGACTATCTTTTACCTAAAAAGGGTATTGGGCAAAGCTTAAAATCTTAATAACACTGGGTGGAAAGGAGATACCTTTATCTGTGAAACACACATAAGACCTACCTCCTAAGTTTATTGTGCAGCCTAATATATTTTATCTTTTGTGCTAATAGCTAACATTATTGAGCACTTAGTGCATTCCTGATTCTGCTCTGCATATTTTATATGATTACTTCATTTTATTCTCACAAGAGCCCAATAAGCTTATTATTTCCCTGATGGAAACTGAGGCACATGGAAGGTAAGTAACTCACTTAGTAATTGATTGAGTTAGGATTCAAACTGATGAATCTGAGTTCATAGCATGTAGTCTGTGGATTAAACAAGAGGTAGTATGCACAGTGACCAGCCTAGGGTCCCATGCTGGAGGTTCCTAAGAACAGTAGTTGTTGTTATTGCTTTATACCCGATTCCTCTTATGTTGGTGTCTTGCTTTGTCATTGTCTCACTCTTGCACTCCTCACATATCCACATTATACAGCTAATCATCCCACAGCAGACACTGAACACATCAGATTGCTCAGGGGACAGTAATGACAAGTTGGACGCTTAATGAACTCCACTGTCACTTCTTCCAGAGAGAAACTTGGATGTGGTCTCAGAATTGCCTCTGCAGAGGCAGGCTTTGCTCTCATCACTGAACTAGTGTGCTGCTTCCCTTTCCATTGGTTCTGTAATGTCCTCTTCAATGAAGCCAGCAGGGATCGTGGCTTATTCAACTCTGCCCCATCCCCAATGCCACTCCCATCATCACTGCTCTTGCAGACACTCAGAGAGTCGTCCACAAGATGTATGGTTGGGTGGGAGGGTCTGGTAACAGCAGGAGCCTCTTACTTGTGAAGAAAAACGATCTCCACATTGACATCATCCCGGTCCTTGTGCAGAAAATCCTTCAGGAAGTTGGAAACACTCTCCAGAGTGATGTGTCCACAGACCACAATGTGCCTGAACAGGAGAGGCCAGTTAGATCAGCCCAGGCCCAGTGACATGACCCCGCATCCCACCCTCTGGCAAGACAGAGGAAGCGCGGCAGCTGCAGGGGAAGCATTCATCTCCCTCCACCTCCAGGAAGCCCAGCTCCCATCCCCAGAGGGCTGTGAGGCAAAGCAGCGGTGCTAGCAGGTGCTCAGAGACTCCTAGACAGAAAAGGCATATGGCTTCTCACCTGATGCTGCACAAAATCCTATTAAAAGCCCAAGCGTTTGGCCAAGTGGTTTTATGCATTTAACAATAAGTGACATTATGCTTGCGCTTAAATGCTGCATTATCAAGTCTCTTGCAGATTCATATCTCTCCCTTTCTGCCCACAAAGCGTCCTCCCGGGAGATTTACTGTATGAGTCTTGGTTTATGACATAGAGCTTATCAGGTAATGAGATAACAAATCTTGCTGAAACGATGATTTTGTGTGTAAGAAAGCGGACTTTTATCAGGATGGCTAATGTGCGGCCTGACACGTTATAGGCTCTGCTGGCCATAAGCAGTAAAAAGGAAATTTTGCATTTTTCCACCATAACTCCTCCGACAATGGGGGCATGTAACACTTTACAGTAAGTGAGCATTACTCAGGGCTAAATGAGAATGGGACGCTTATGGAATGGAAGATCATGCTGGCTGGCTGTGCGTCCCCAGAGATCTCCCTCCTTAGGGTGCCTAAAATTTCCAGGGGAGCCAAAGGAATTTGCCTCAAGATAGGGAGAAGCCAGGAAGTGATGAGGCTGGAATTGCTCACCTTTCTTCTAGGATACTTTGGACTTCTGTTTCTAGAAATAGTGGCTTACTCTGAGATGAGCCCTATTCTAGACCCATAGTCGCTCCAACAGACTAGGTCTCCTGGACTAATCTGACTCCAGCACTAGACTATACTGTGGTCACTTAGATTTGCTACTTGATGCCCCATCAGAAGTAAGCACTTTGATGCAAGAATTAGCAGCAAAACAAAAAGTCAGGCACTGACTGTGGAGATAAGACCACCGGCTTCCAGTGAAGAGACTACATGTCGCAAGAGGTTCAGCTCCTGTCCCTGTTCCCCTCAGGCTGACAATGACAGAGGCTGAATCTCTAGCTGTGCTCTGAGACTTGGGCAGGTGGTAAACATGCAGCATGGTAATTTCCTGAGTAAAATTTAGTATGGACAGATCCTTTGCACTTCATAATTGCTCTGTGTACATGCCAACAAGGCAGAAAGCTCATTGGCTGGAGACAGCTCATAATAGGAGGCAGTGATGATGGCTTATGCAATGTCCATTAGATGCCATTACAAGAGCCTGCCCTTTCGTTGTAATTTGGTGCTTGACTAAGTATAATGCAGTAAACTCATTGGTGAAGGGATAATGATGCAGAACAAAGAGTAAATCAATAATATGCACAATGCAGTTAATAATATCACCATTATGGACTGTTATTGTTACGGCAGTGCACTGAGCAATCAGGCACACAGAAGCCATCAAGGAGAGGGACGAGTGTCAATGAGTTACTTCAGAGGACATGTCTTAGCATCATTACTCTGTTCTCTAGCCAGTCCCTGGTAGGTTGAGGAAGGTCCCTCGGCCACCCATCCAAATTTTATGCCCACCCCACGTGACTAATTACCTCTTTACCATAAGGCTGTGAAATATGCAGTATATCAGAACACAGTATAAATGGAATATTTGGATTATATACACCTTTATCATATCATATTTTAAAATGTTTCTTATGGCACATGTGCATTGATAGGGACAAAAAATTTCAAATGAATGCACACGTTCTGAATAAGATTTCTGGTTGTGAATTTGCCAAGTATGTTCAAAATGATAGATAAACAGGATTCTCCTTTTGACTTGACTTGCCCACAAATGACAGGGGGCTGCTTGGTGCCAGTCTAATGCCTTCTGCCCGCAGACTTCCAAAATTAGTAGTAAAAACAACATGAATCCAATGTGTGGGTTTTCCCACGGGACAGATATGTGGTTAGCGCTGTTCCTGTCACCTGGATGTAAAAGTATCCCAGATGAGATCCCTTCTCTGCTACCAAGGCTGTGCGTCATCTTGGGCAAGCTACTCATTCCAAGTCAATCCATGCGGAAGCTAAGAGGTTAATACCACCCAGCCAGGTTCCTGCACCAGGCATTTTAAGACCAAAGTTCTATACCAGCACAAGCCTGGCTATTATTCAAAGCTGGACTCAAATCAATGATAGATGCAGGGAAATGACTGAATATTCATCCTTCCTATCCAGTACGCAAAGAACTGAATGAACATCAGCCAGCATCTCCTCTTCCTCTTCTGAAATTATTCATCCCTAGGAAAGATGTGTGAGAGGTAGAGGGAGAAAATAAGTTCCCCCCTCTCACCCTTGAATCAAAGGCTAGCCAGCTGATTTATTCAGCCTTAGAAAAAGTCAGGGTTCTCTTACTTGAAAATGTGCTGGGCACATATAAAATATATTCCAATGCAATCAATATTATCCCTTACACCTTTAATTAACTTTCACTTCTCTTAAGAAGTAGACAAATGCTGGCAAGAGAGAGGAGAAAAAAAAGATTGACTTTTTTCATTTGGTGCTAGCTATCCAATACCATTCTAGACAATTGAAAATATATATCTTTTAGCTACAGCATGATTTCTGGGGTGGAGAGCAGTCTTTATCAAAAAAGAAAGAAAAAAAATCTTCCTTCAACATAATTGGTATTTTTGCTCAGAAAAAGCAAGATTGATTGAAAGCAGATTGCCTTTTTGCCCAAGGAGAGTTATTAGGTACATTATCATGGCAACCTTGGAGAACCCATATTGTTCCAATCTGTCCTATATCTGATTTGAAGATTTACGGCCTCCCCTTTTGTGCCAATAATCATTTCCCTCCATTTTGTTTTCCATACAGTGAAAGTTATCAAGGAGCCCACATATTGAAAATGTTTGAATGCAGTTAGAGTTGATGGATGGGAGAAGCCGCCTCTCTAACTCAGCCTCGGCGTTAGAAGATCTGCTTCTGCCAGCCCGTGTCTGAGGAAGGCCCTGCAGGAGCATGTGGGATGGATGGTGAATGGGGAACATTTATTATTCAGAAATATTTTCGGGACTTTTGAAAATTCCAGGGGCAGAGTTTGAGGCAGAATATGATTACAAGGAGAAGAGAAGTAGAATTTATTTTATCCTCAATTATTGAAGATATAATTGCAAAAAATCTAAGATTGAGAGCAAAGTGTGCCCTCCTTGAAAGCAGGGGCATGATCATTCGTAAGGCATGATTTAAAGAATGCCACAAAAACTCCACTCCATCTAAAATTATCCCTCCTGGGCCCCATGATACCCACATATTTGCACATCTACCATGTAAGTTTCATACACTGATTACTCAGCTCACACACTAAATAACTAAATAGTCTTGGACAAGGCACCAATTTCACATTTTATAACTAAAAAGCCAGTGCCTTTGAGGAGCTAGAGCTAGTACTTGATTCATGAGGTTATCCTGAGAATTTATTTAAGGAGATAATACACGTAAGGACCTAGTATTGTGGCCCACTGTAAGCATTATAAAATGGTAGGCATCACGTGACATCTATAAATCAGGATGTAACAGATATAAAGTGTTCTGTGGCCCATATAATCTCACTAATCCTCAAATAACTCTGTGTTCTTACCACCTGCATCTTTTCAGATAACCTCTCTGGACCTCAATTTCCTTAAGTCACATGCCTGGCATCCCACAGCAAGTAAAAGTGACCTGATTCGGATGCAATCCTGGTCTCTGACTCCGGTTCTCACTAAGACAAAGGTGGTGAGGGAAAGGGCATAGGTTCTGGTATCTCAGCTTCTGCTTCTTCAGGATAGGTGGGGCCAGGCCCACAAAGGTCTTCCTGGATACGTGGTGAGGGGGTGGGTGTTGGAGGAGTCCTCAGAGGAAAGGAGGAGAGGCTTAGTCTGGAGATTGGGATAGAGAAACCACCACAGTTTTGCAATACCAGCAGATTCTGGCTGCAAAGGCAGTATTACTAGAGTTTCAGCAAAGTCTAATTGTAGGCAGAAATCACAAGTACCACAGGTCAGAACACTAAACCACACTTTTTACTTAAGCAACATGATTTGGCAACATGGGGCTGTCAAGTGATGCAAATGTCCAGTGTAGACATTATATGTCACTTCCCACCCAGAACTTTCCTCACCAGCCCCAGGATCCAGAGGATAAGAACCTAAATGATCCATTTACAATGGACACTATTTAGGAAAGTGAAGCTATGAAAGCAGCTGAAGCTGTTCCCACCTGTAGCTCAGGATCTGAACTTTTTTAGCCTACCAGCCATCTTCACGACTGATTTCTACAGGGCCTGACCGCTCAGTTTGTGAAGATGACCAACAAATCAAAATCAATAACCATTTCTGATTTGACAACCTGTTTGATTTTTAAAGTTGTTTAGTTCTGTGAACAAATATTTCTTGGGCAAAGGTAATATGAACTAATCATAAACTAATGGTAAAGGCTTAGATTAGAAGATCCATCTCAGATGCACAAGGAAGCATCTCAAATGCCAAAACAGTAACAGATGGTATTTTCTGGAAAGGAGTTACTCATCCAGTGTAAGCAAGCTGTGCCTCATGCTGGCCAAAGGCTCCATAAACACGGGCTGGGTTCACTGGGGGTGGGCAATACTGGAGGGTCACGGCATCAGTTGGTGAGCATGACTTCATAAGAAGAAGAAGAAGAATGCTTGACCATTATGAACTCCATCAAGGGTTACCAGAAAATTGCCAAATGCTTACTTCATACACACATCTTCACTAAATATATATTGGTGTACTTCTCCCATCGTTAGGCATCTCCACCTCCAGAATGAAATCCCACATGTTCTCCTCAATCACTCTACTCCCTGTTTGGTGGTGGGCCAGGAAAGCCTGACAATGAAATTCTACATACTTTTTTAAAAGACTCAGATGGTGAATCCTAGAATCGGTAGCCTTTGAAAA